ACACACACACACACACAGTCACACACAGTGACTTTAAAACCCTGTAAGAACCCTGTACTGTACACGCATATAACCCTTGAGCCCTGTACTGTACACGTATATCACCCTGTAAGAGCCCTGTACTGTGCACCTATATACCCCCATAAGAACCCTGTACTGCACGAGCATATAACCCTGCCCTTATAACCCTGTAAGAGCCCTGTACTATACACCTATATACCCTCATAAGAGCCCTGCACTGTACACGCATATAATCCTGCCCTTATAACGCTGTAGGAGTCCTGTACTGTACACCTATATACCCCTCTAAGAGCCTTGTACTGTACACGTATATAACCCTGCCCTTATAACGCTGTAAGAGTCCTGTACTGTACACCTATATACCCCTCTAAGAGCCTTGTACTGTACACGTATATAACCCTGCCCTTATAACCCTGTAAGAGTGCTGTACTGTTCACGCATATAACCATGCCCTTATAACGCCGTAAGAGTCCTGTACTGTACACCTATATACCCCCATAAGAACCCTGTACTGCACACGCATATAACCCTGCCCTTATAACCCTGTAAGAGCCCTGTACTATATACCTATATACCCCTCTGTAAGACCCTGTACTGTACACGTATATAACCCTGCCCTTATAACCCTGTAAGAGCCCTGTACTGTACACGTATATAACCCTGCCCTTATAACGCTGTAGGAGTCCTGTACTGTACACCTATATACCCCTCTAAGAGCCTTGTACTGTACACGTATATAACCCTGCCCTTATAACGCTGTAAGAGTCCTGTACACCTATATACCCCTCTAAGAGCCTTGTACACGTAGAGTCTTATAACTGTACTGTACACCTATATACCCCTCTAAGAGCCTTGTACTGTACACGTATATAACCCTGCCCTTATAACGCTGTAAGAGCCTTGTACTGTACACGTATATAACCCTGCCCTTATAACGCTGAAGGAGTCCTGTACTGTACACCTATATACCCCTCTAAGAGCCTTGTACTGTACACGTATATAACCCTGCCCTTATAACGCTGTAGGAGTCCTGTACTGTACACCTATATACCCCTCTAAGAGCCTTGTACTGTACACGTATATAACCCTGCCCTTATACCCCTCTAAGAGCCCTGCTGTAGAGACCCTGTTACTGTACACCTATATACCCTGCCCTTAAGAGCCTTGCTGTACTGTACACACGTATATAACCCCTTATAACGCCCTTATAACCCTGCCCTTATAACGCTGTAAGAGTCCTGTACTGTACACCTATATACCCCTCTAAGAGCCTTGTACCTGTATATAACCCTGCCCTTATAACGCTGAGTCCTGTACTGTACTGTACCTATATACCCTCTAAAGCTGTAGGAGTCTTGTACTGTACACACCTATATACCCCTTAAGAGCCTTGTACTGTACACGTATATAACCCTGCCCTTATAACGCTGTAGGAGTCCTGTACTGTACACCTATATACCCTCTAAGAGCCCCTGTACACGTATATAACCCTGCCCTTATAAGAGTCCTGTACTGTACACCTATATACCCCTCTAAGAGCCTTGTACTGTACACGTATATAACCCTGCCCTTATAACCCCTGTACACCTTGTACTGTACACGTATATAACCCCCCTAAGAGCCTCCCTGTACTGTACACGTATATAACCCTGCCCTTATAACGCTGTAGGAGTCCTGTACTGTACACCTATATACCCCTCTAAGAGCCTTGTACTGTACACGTATATAACCCTGCCCTTATAACGCTGTAAGAGTCCTGTACTGTACACCTATATACCCCTCTAAGAGCCTTGTACTGTACGTATATACCCTGCCCTATAACGCTGTAGGAGTCCTGTACTGACATATATAACCCTGCACCTATATACCCCCTAAGAGCCTTGTACTGTACACGTATATAACCCTATACCCTCTAAGAGCCTTGTACTGTACACGTATATAACCCCCTTATAACCCTCTAAGAGCCTTGTAGCCTTGTGTACACCCTATATACCCCTCTAAGAGCCTTGTACTGTACACGTATATAACCCTTATATACCCTGCCCTTATAACGCTAAGCCCTTATAACCTGTAGGAGTCCTGTACTGTACACCTATATACCCCCTGTACTGTACCTACATATACCTAAGAGCCTTGTACTGTACACGTATATAACCCTGCCCTTATAACGCTGTAAGGGTCCTGTACTGTACACCTATATACCCCTCTAAGAGCCTTGTACTGTACACCTATATACCCCTCTAAGAGCCTTGTACTGTACACGTATATAACCCTGCCCTTATTACCCCGTAAGAGCCTTGTACTGAAGATACTTTCTGGGTCAAACCAGTCGGTAACTTTCTCTGTCAGCTTAGGCCTTGTTCATAATACTGACCGAGCATTTCGACAGTAGATTATACACCTTAACTTGTATTGTACTTTATACACAAGTTCATGATGTATATTTGCATTAATTTGTGTATTCAGTTGTATATTGACAATGTTTAAATATTTATGTGAATAGTCCAAGCATATATGGTCCAATCATTGCGGCATTTCACATTTTAAACATGGTCTGTAAGTTTGTAAATAGTTTAGGGCGTGGGGATTATAGATGTCCCGTGAAGTGGTCCGCTGCAGGGGCGGATCCAGGATTTTGGAGAAGTGTGTGTGTGTGTGTTTGCGTGCGTGCGTGCGTGCGCACACAAAGTATAAAGGTTAGGGCAAATGCTCCTCAGCGGAATTGAGTTTTCGGGAGAGAGAGGGGTGGGGTGGAGGTTGGGGTTGCGAACCCTTCCTCTGTATCCGCCCCTGCGCTGATGGTCTCACACCTTTACTACATGATACATGAATATGCTTTAAAGCTAACAGTAATGTGTGATTGTGTACTTTTCCAAACTCAGTGGGAAATTTACAACATGACAACGAGGGACTACTGGTTCAGTTGGTGTTCCCCGTCTCCCCAGAAGCCGATAGTAATGTAAAGAGCGTTACGGTTTGTTTGCGCCCTCAATGGTGGTAGCTCAGGGTGTTCGACGGAAGACAACAGAGGACATCAATAATATGTATTGTTTTGGGGGAAAAATGGCCCAAATGGTACTGGGTGGCCTGTGTTCGGGGTGTAGAGACCTGCTGTCATTTACACGTGATGGGTTGTGATAACAGGGGGTACACAGAGTGTTTGCTGAATGCATTAAACAAAGAAGATAGAATTTCGGTGCACCTTGGACTCATCAAAACAATGATGACTTTTGAATGTATGAAGTTTTAAAGAAAATGATTGAAATGGTTTGCACTACAACGATAACATCACATCCAATGTGAAATTAGAATCTGTATTTACATGAAGATTTACAAAGAGAACAAATAACATCATTAAGGATTGGAAAGACACATATACCTGGTGCGCCTAAATGGCTGCAAGAGATGTATGATCTCCAGGGAGTTGAGATTGACATCCTATGATCGAAGGAAAACAAAGCGCCTTGGAGCAGCTGAGTTGGATATTGGCGCTATACAAATATTAGTATGTATGTATTAATCATTTTACACATGTTGGGAAAATGTGATCATATTTATGAATGAGATTCAAATGACGGGCACATAAAAGATAATGAAATTCATCACACAATTGACAATGTGGGTACATGTATTTCCTTTCAGTTACTGTTATATATTTTCCTCTACCTGTCTGTTGCAGTCCGTAAACCGAATGTTCTGAACTTCAGGAAAGTTATCCAAACGTTATCAAATGTATTAATTAAATAGTTTTTCAAAATTAAAAAGTCATGTTTACAATTATATAATTGAACTTTTGGAAGATTTTTGATCTTGCTCATATCCATGATTACAAGTAAATACCATTCGGTTTAAGTTTAACTATATTTTTAGACAGCCTTGACTTTGAAAAGTTTGTGACATGTAACTGAGCGCAAGTTCGTCAAATAATTGTTTCATGGTTGTTATCTATTTATGTTTCCGTCCTCCCATTAAATTACACGTATCTTCGAAAACTAATTCATTCACAGTGAAAGATAATTTAGTTTCCGTAACAAAAATTTCCAAATCCCCATATTTTGCAACCGTATATTTGGTACAACCATGATGTCAAGCAGGCGCCCCGATTGATAAATGTAATGTCCGCCCCTAGCAAATCACCTCTTACTTAGGTACCAAGAACAGTACGGTTCATAGGTCCTTTTCAATGCTGAAACTCCGTCCAAAATCAGACAAGTGCTGACCTGTTTTCCCCGGCAGTTCAAGACAGTTGCGTGCTTTTTATATTTCAAGTTTCCAAGGCGAAAGATTGGACTTAATGATTAACTACCGGTTTGTATTAAAAAAGGCATTTCAACTGTGTTGGCCTTTTGTCCAGAGGCAAACCAAACGTTAATTATATCTCTAAGAAACGTTAAATTATATCTTTTAGTAAACTGGACTCACGTGTAAAATGTAAAGTAAAGAGTTCACTCTTTCTAGTGATTTCTCACGAGAATGTCGAGTGTTAATATACCGACTTGGTCCCAATAATGGATCGTGGAGACGTTGTGGTGCGTCCAAAATCTTTGTGACATCGTGGTCATGCCATTACCAATTAGCTGTTAGATTTAGATGCTCTGTGTCGTCGTGTATCTTTATTCGTATACTTCACTTACGGTCAGAGAAAATGAATCTGAGTGTGACTGTCACTAGGATGGGCGTTTTTGAGTACTCCAGCTGATTTGCATGAACGTAACTTTCGTTAATCGAAACTACCAATTGTGAGGTGGTCGGTCATATGTGCGTGATTGAAGACAGGTATTCAGTTGCGGATCCAGAGTTGCGTGTGTGCGTGTGATTGAGGGAGGGATATTTAAGTGCGCACGCACACACACACATTCTAAAATATCCTGGATCCGCCTCTGGTATTTATCATTATTTCGTCAATGTTGTAAGATGGTAATAATATATGCTTCAAAAGCAAACAAAATGTAGTACTCAAATAAAATATAAAACACATGTTTATGAAAATGCTAAACATTTTTATTCAGGAAGAAATAAATACAAAAGACTTATGTACAATAGAAAACGATTTATTTACAACTTTGGCACTTTGACGGATCACTGTGACTCATCCAGGTATGTAGAAGTACAAAGTTACAACATTGAACACAAACTGTTTTTTTCAAACCGTGCAAAATTAAAAATGCGAATATTGCCCCAAACACTGGTGATACGCTGAACACTGAGCCACTGTGGGGTCAAAATTGGTGTTTTGCTAAAAACTAACAAAAACTACAGAACATATTTATCTGTCTAATAAATAGAGGTAATGGATTATAGTTCTGTCTCTGATTATTGATTTGATTGTGGCATGATGAAGGAGTGAAAGATTATGACGATAAACAACGAATATAAACATCCTAGTGAACACAACGTTGAAGACGACGTCCCTCCTGGTGCCAGGATCTATGGTGATCTGAGCAGAGTTAGACTGTGGTAGTGTACCGCGTCATACACACAGGTGACATACTGATGTAGACAAAGAGGAAACTATAGGGACAGGTGTGGCATATCTGAAGTAGTGTAACACGAGGAGAGATGACCTTCCCTAACTCGCGCGACCACATCAGGCTGCTAGTGACACCTGACGCCGGAATGACCCAAGGTATTCCTGTAACAGACAACAGTAAGATACTACCAGACTCTGTCTCATATGGATTGATATGGTAATATGTCTTACATAGTAAGATATATCCAGCTACAGTAATATATAGTTAGATTGGTCATATATAGCCAGATAGCCGTTGCTTTAGTCAGATAGTCACAATTAGTCTTGTACCCATTGCCATGGTGAGGTGCTGTAACACATAGTTAGATATAGTCATATAGAGCAGGGTGAAGTCATATATTGCCAAATGCCTATAGATATAGTCAGACACAGTCACACATATACTTACATATACAGTAGGATACATATATATTCATATAGCTTCAGATATTGTTAGTCTGATGCAGTCATATATAGCCAGGAACAGTGATCTTTAGTCCGATAAAATCATTCGGTTAAACAGTAAGATTAAAGGCTTTGAATGGCATTTAGAAGTGATACACGTCTGTCAAGATTAAATTACATTTGTGACGTCATTCCATTGTTTGCTCGCTCCATTACTTTTCGGGAATGGAGCGATGTGTACCAGTTTCAAATTAAAGCCTTCCTTTTGTCATTTTGACATTTAATTTTGATAACAGAAATTTCCCCAGTTCTTTGAATGTAATTTAAGCAGGGTAATATCCTCGTAACTCTCCATTCCTTAAATAATGTGCCTCGGCCCCTCCGGGGCCTCGGCTCCATTATTTTTAAGGAATGGAGAGTTACTCGGGACATTACCCTCTACGTAATTTTGTCTTTTAATATGCCTTTTGCTATCTGAGACAAAACAATACATGTAATTCTGTACTCACAAAACGTTAACTTTCAGAATACCAAACATGTCCAAGAATTGAGTTTGTGAACCCAGAGGACACTCTATATACTATCAAGCTGAGAACTGAGTATTGTCTCCTGAGACTTGAGACGTACCTTCAGTTGTTCTGTTAAGACATCTCCCACCACGGGTGTTCTGTTGCTACTCCACCAGTCGGGCATGTACTGCAACACAACAACACATAGATACACCAGTTGCCGCAGCTGGCATCTACAGAGGAACCTCACGGGACGACAGGGACTTTATTTTGACAAGGGGACATGGCTCGGACAAATTAGCAGTCCAAGTAGCAGAAAGGATCAAACATCACTTTGTCTGCTTACTCGACACTTTTACAACAATAAGTGGTGTGTAATTACAGAGAGACATGTACGCATGAAAATGGTATATATTTATCATGTGCTACTGAACTAGTTCCAAATGGAAGCTTTGGAGTTTTATGTTAAAGGGACCCTCGACCCATTATAGAACGCGCATTGAATTACACTGCTGCACTGGCGCAGTATATGGTAGGATTGGTCGTATATATGAATCGGTGCACTTTTGTCTATAAATGCTAAAAGTACATGTATACATTTAATCCGACCGTTTACTACAATAGGATTTGATGATGTATCTAATAGTCTCACAGAAGTAACATTGGAGAACGAATTCCCTTCAGCTGTGATACAAGGCTGCTCCAAAGACTGGCATTAAGATCTTTACACAAACATAACGCATTCGTACCATGAGAATACCAGTCATAAGATTACGGCCTGAGCACTGAAACTGTCTTAGAAGGGATGCAATAAGCGTCAATGTTTACACATGATAAATACAATTCATAAATATGTCCAGCTTGAATCTTCTAAAGAAATCCACAAGAAATTCTTTACTGTTTACTCCCAAACAGAGGCAAAACCAGATATATGTAATATATATTTTACATTTAATGCCCAACGTTCTACGCCTTTTCAGCAATAATATACTGATACGAATGATTTAAAACAAAGTTTCATGATCCTGCTCCTAAAAAGACCCGTATGCATCTATTGAGATGGATGTCACAAGGTTTTCTGTGTGATGCAAAACACTCACCTTCCACAAGAAAGACGCCTGGTCGCATGGTTTACAGACGGTTTTGCCCATCCCTGCTGCATCCTGTTCACACTTGCATGTTTGACACTGTGGCGGTGCTGCTGTCTTGGCGACACGGGAGGCAAACTTCTTGACAAATTCTCTCTTGATCTTGGAGCTGCCACCTTGCAAGTGGGTGGAGTCGAAGACTGAACCGTTAGAATTGAGGGCAAGCTGAGAACACCTGTCCCCTGGCTGGACCAGCTTCTTGAACAGATCTTCATTGCGTGTTCTGCGAGACCTCATGGTGAAAATCTGTGCTTGATCCATGCCTGCAGATAGGAAGGGAGATAACTTCATTAACCTGCTCTTAGCCTTGGTGAGCTGGATTGAGTTAGAAAATGGACCCATTTTGAATACTTAAGTATGAACCTCACTGAACCTTCAATGAATCTAAGCAGTATACATCTGAATATTTCTAGCGAGGCTGTTGTCTGAAGATGTCAAGACACTCAACATATATCTAAACACTTCTGACTGCCCATGTCTCAAGATGTCAAGACACTCACCATATATCTGAACATTTCTGACAGGCCTGTTGTCTCTGATGTCCACTGGCTTGCTGCGGAGTACATGCATGACGAAACCATGAGCTTTCAGTATCCCGTCCATGTCAACGTGGGCTTCAGTGGCCTCACAGTCTGAGGCTGGGATGAACAGGATGACCTTGGCCACTCCTGTCCTGAAGGGGTAGTTGGTGGCAAGTCGAATGGCGGCCAGACCGTCCCCTGAAGCCTTGTTCTCAGAGTACACGATACCTTCAACGCCTTTTATGAATCCCTTGGACTTGCTGAAGAGCTGACCGTCAAATGTTCGACTATGCTCTGTCACTAGACGACCGGGACCTCCGTAACCAACCAAGCCATATTTGTTTTCACTGATACCTGTCGGGGACAAAGATGAATCAAAGCTAAACTCTGCTTCTGAAAACTATGCACCTTTAAATTATGAAACTAATTAAAGGAATTCAGCTTGTGTGAGAACGATGCATGCGTGTGTGTTAGATTTAAGGTCGTTAACAGTACTCCACTTGTAGTTATGACGTACTCCGTTGACATTTTCAGCGTGTTATGCTCCGGAATGGTTCCGACAAAATGAATTACCACTATCACTTACCAGCTCCTTGCATTACTAAGGGACACAATTCCGCACAACGAAATGCTGCTTTGTGCAATGAGAGTACCACACAACCTATGTCCACCCTGATACATACCAACAGTCCTGAGTGCGGAGTCCACGTCAGTAACGAGATCTCCAAGTGTTGTTGCTGTTAACTTCTGTGTACTCTTCTCTTCAAGAACCAATACCACGTCTGCGGACGACGGCAGTGGCGCCTCCTGGTCTCCAGCGGTCAGCTGCACGGACATACCGCTGGTGATGGAGGTCAGGTCGCTGGTCAGGGCACAGCTTACTGAAGGAGAACAACTAATTGAGTGAAGCGCATCGTACATGTAGTGGTGTGAATTTTCATACAGATCTCGTCTCCTCGTAATGGGGTAAAGACACGAAAAGTTGCTACTGACCACAGTTCGTGGGTACACTGAGGTAGACGCCGTGGGTTCTGCACAGATGAGTGTACTGTGCTGCTGTCCTGCAGCTGGCATTGGTTGGTGTGGCTCCGGTCTGGACGTAGCCTACACACGTCTGGAGGAACTCTTCAGCAGGTACCTACAACAACCAACAGGTCAACTCTAAACATAGGCACTCTCTGTTGTATTTTAACAGTATTTAGCCGTCAGTGAAACCATACTACGATGTACTTGATGACCCACTTACCACAGAGAAACAGGGTCTAAACGGTGATGCCTGAGTCTTGAAGTGTGCAGCACACTCTGGGTAGACGGAGTCCACGTCGACCATGCTGATGTCGATGGCTTTGTTGGAGGCTCTGCATGATCGGCGACCAACCTCCCAAGAGTTTGCGAAGTCAGTGACATCAGTCAGTTTCTGTCGATTGATGGCGAGCATGTCATTACTGCCCTCGTTGTCGAATGTTCCCAGCAGTCCGGCCACCCTACCGTGGTACCAGCCGCTCAGTCCGATGGTGTAGATGTCGTTAACTGGATCTACCTCCACAGTCAGGCCAGTACCATCGTCGATGGTGATGTGATAGTTCTCCCTGATGGCCTCCACCTTGCCCTGTGTGAAGGGCAACTCCACCGGCCGGTCATTCACCAACACCTGCAAGAGTCAGAGACAATATGTTACATGGCCGATGATATCCTCCGTCACGTCCAAACCTGCGTTAAACGTTATTACCGACTGATGCATTAGGGGCTGGTCTCATGACGCCGATGGAATCCATACCATGTGTTATAGACATATGGAAAACTCTTACAAATGTTTATTCGACAGTATCACTAGAAAAGATGAAAACCACCAAATTTGGACACCATAGCTATTTAAACTAAATTAAAGATGAGAATTTTCCGTGTTCCGAGTCCTAATAGTTCAAGACCAATGGCGAAAACAGTATGGTATATATATTGAGAGGTATTTTATTGGCTATATTATTTGTGATGTATCCTTGAAAGTAGACATTTGACCTGTTTCGAGATATCAATGTGGGTATTTCCGATACGACCCTAATTACAAAAGTATTTGTTGTAATTTTGGCTGTCGTACTGACAGTACTTGTATTTTAACAAGACTCTAATCTTAACATTTCGTGTTGCTCATATATGGATCTAACCTTGTAGTCTGTGGCGATCTCTATGTTGACGCCGCTCAACATGACAAGCAGTGACTTCTTCTTTGGCGCACGCATGTTGTTGTCGTAGTTGAGGACTACAGTGAAAGTGTCGTTGACCATGTCACGGGTCAGCACGTAGCTGCAGCGTCCAGCAAAATCAAAGTGCTTCTTGTCAAATGTAATGAAGTGTTGGTTACCCACGACCGCAGCATAGGCTGTGAAGATAACAATACCTATCGTTAAAGGCGGACCTCAGACCACGGATGTCTAAACATCATCAACTTGAAATACCTTATGTCAGATTGGCCTGGCGGATAGAACATCCTAGCATGAAAATAAGGCATATTTCTGCAATGATAGTGTAATTAAAAATGTCGACCGTGCCCAACCCTGAATAATTCATTCTGGCGAACATTTTGATATCCAGTGCTCTGAAACAATTGCTCAGCAATTTACACAATATGAATTAATCAGTGAGTATGCATGCAAGACCCGACATCTCTACGCCGACTGCCTTTATGTCTCACCTTTATAAGGTGGCATCCATGTTGATGAGTCCAGCGAAGGCACAAACTTGTAGTAGGTGTCCCACACGGAGTAGTTGCTGCCAGGGATGTATCTGTTGACAAAGGTCTTCATCTTGTGGACGTAACGGCGGATGTTGAAGTCCGGTGCTTCTGCCAGAGACTTGAGAGGAATCGGCAGATATAGTTCCACCTGCAGCTCTCCATTCAGCGGATCATACACAATAACCCTGGACTTGTCAAGGTCCACCAGACTGTCCTTCAGTTTGTTCAGTTCCATGAAAATCATGTCGCGTGATGCCTCGTACAGCCTGAGCATGGTGAGACGGAGATTGGAATCCAAGTCCCAGTATTTGTAGGCCCACACCAGCTGTAATAACATATAATCATAACATAAGATTCCCAGGGTAGTTCAGCCGCGTGTACCACCGTACCACACATACAAAGAACCGTGCACAACAAGCATGCAATAACAACAGAAAACTGTAATACAATACCTGTTGGTTGATTTCGTTTCCAATACCATATGCCCGTTTCAGGTCTTGGTGGATGTTAAGGGATTCAAACGCTTCCTTCGCCTTTGTCTTCATCACCTTGTACTTGTCTCCCAGCTCAAGGGAATCCAGGGCATTCTGTATGGCTCGATCTATGATTTCTCCATATTGTTTGTAGTCCACTTCCGGTAGGCTAGCAACGCGAGACTTCAGGTTGGCGTAGGTTGCCCGGATGTCTTTCACCTTTGGATGCTCCATGACAGTGGCCACAAAACCTGCATTACATTATGCACACCATGTGAGGACCCTGATATACATGTCTAACGCAGGGATCATGGAAATTCGAATACATATAACGTAATGGAAACGAAACAGGAGACAATATTTGGCAGTACTGATAATGATCTGATCTCATAGTATGCTTGTTCTGTGCTGCTCACTGGAATGTTACTGACACCCACCTTTCATCCTCCTTTGCAGAGAACGTGTGTTTGTAAGGTAGGACCTGTACAGCTGGTCAGATGCCTTGTCCATCTGGTATGTCCACATCTGGAACTTGGCAGTACTCGTCTGGCGGAATTTCTGAACATACATGACAACATATAACAATTCATGAATATGTAATGATAAAGATCTAATACAGCTTTAGTTATGCCCTAGTTATAAGAATGTCACATTTAAATTTCATATTCTTCAATAAAAACATAAAGAATGCCATAACCTTACTGTATGTAAATATCTGAAATCACATTTTAACCCCACCCCGAAGTATCAGTGTACCCGGTACTGAATGCGTCATACGATCCAGTTATTCGGTTATTATACATTCAAATCCACTGAAACCTGGTCTGTATTGAAAACGTACTGACTGATGCATGATATAGCCATATACACACCTTGATATCACTGATGAGCTGATCTACAAACTGCATATATTTCTGAGTGATCGGGTAGTTCTTAAGAGTGTGAAGCAATTGTGTTAAGGTCCTTTCAGTCGTCACATAGAACCTTTCAAATTCGTCAACAAAGTTGCCAAATCCGCCACTGAAACAAACATATGCCTGTAAAACTGCTGTCAGAAACTGAAACTGAAAGGTTTGCAGATAAAAATAGTCCCAAACCAATATTAATAAGTTCAGTTTAAACATCTAATATCCTATTTCCATTAAGGGGTAAGGTATGTCCTCGGTGTCCTATGTTCTTCTGAAAAGCCGACTAATGGACATCGGATGATCACAGTATGTGGTGGCTGATTGTGTGGACCGTTGCCCATAATATAACCACTGAGCTGTTGACAAACATGCATGTGATGCACGTTATTCAGTAAACAGTACGCCTCAAGTGATATTCCAGCAGTATCATCACGGGGAACACAAGAGACCGGCTTCACTCATTATAACCAAGGATTCGAGCCCAGGTCTTCGGCGTGAGCCCTATACTCATGACACAAACAAAAATCTCCCTTTGTATGTACGTGGGGCGGTGGGGTAGGCTAGTGGTTAAAGTGTTGCCTTGTCATGTCGAAGACCCGGTTTCGATTCCCCACATTGGTACAATTTGTGAACCCCATTTCTGATCTCCCCCATGGTGATACTGCTGGAATAAAACCAAACTCACTCGCTCACTCAGTTTATGGACGTAAATGTAAGTCAACTTACAACATCTGGTTGAAAGCGCCATTGACAGCATCGCCCATGTCCTTGATAAACAAGTCGTTCCGTCTGTAGGCTCTGCGCACTTCACGTCGGACTATGTCCAAATTAACCTTGGCATTCGCCATTTCCGTCTCCAGAAGAGTAAAGACTGGCTCCATTTCATTGAAGATTTCGTTGGCGATTCTGTTGTATTTGGCCGTCACCTCCTGTCCCATAGCCTGAGACACCTCACTCGCGGCTTCATTCATCACATAGCTGTACACCATGACCTTGGACGACACAAACCGCTGCAGCTCCACGAGAGAGTTAGGACGCCAGGTGACGCGAGTGTGCAGGATATGCGACGAGTTGAGACGCACGGCTACCCAACTTTCTGGAACACGCTGTTGGTTGACCTTTCTGTAGATTTCAGCTTGGACGGCTGTGTCGTTCACGTAGCCGGCCGACAGGTGGATGCTGTCATTAGGATCCTCTGGAAACAGGACACGGTGTCACATAGAAAACCTCAGTAGCCAAACGGCTATACATGGTACATAACTATTATCTGCATATTGAAATACTTTGTATCCATTATTAATTTTGAAGAAAATGTGACAGTAGCACTGAAGGTGAGATATGAAGTGGAACATTTCAGAGAAAATTAATCAATAGTCATGATTATATGGGACTTATTCAAACGAAATGTTATACTTACCAGAGTTGTAGGCGAAGTCAAAGTTGAGTGTTTTTTTGCCAGTGTCGACCATGATCTCTGTGTTGACGACCTTGTTGTGGTCGTAGGTATTAGTGAGTCCAAAGTGGTACTCAATGCCCTTATACAACCAGCCACTCAGAACAACATGTTTCAGGGGGGAACTCGCCTGCAATCGCCAGTAATCAATAAATTATTGCTGCATCAATATATCATATATCTACTTCCCACTTTTTCACTTTTATGAAAAAAGTACATTCAAATCACTTTCGACTTCAAATAATAGATTTAATGTCATTTCAGACGCGAGAAAATTGAAGACATGTTGAGTTTTATAGTTCAAACACAATAGTAAGCAAGTAAGGTCTTACCTCAATATTCATTTTGTTCATTTTGTGGTTTACATCACCCCTGAGGACGAAGTACTTCTTCTCTCTGTTCCGGGCTTCATAAGAAAGGAGGAGACCACTCGAACAGGTCGTGGAGGTCTTGCCCATGTGTGTGTTCAGTAGCAGGTTGGTGTATGTCGACGGGTGATTGATGCCTACAGACACGGTGTAGTTGTTGTAACCACTGCGTCCCAGATTCTCCAGCTTTGTGGTAAGAGTTAAGGCCTTACGTGGATCAGGAGAATAGGTGAATACGGTTGTTCCGTCTACGAGAACGTTGCCTTGGTTTCTGATCATGGATGTTTCCAGTTTGTAGTCCTATACACAAGAAATAGAGTGTCTTCTTGTAGATTTCAGACATAGTATAAAGTTTGTTCAGATCATGCAAGGATTTGTTTGAGATCATCTAGAACATACATGCATGTTAATGTGGCTGTATCATCATTTCACTTAACAAACGTTTGATTACATTTTCTTCTTACCTTTTTAATTGATGGCAGATGGACCAGGACAGACCTCTTAACAGAAGTGCTCCTCTGATCCATGTCCAACTTGACAGCCACTTGCTTAGTCTGGTCTCTCTCTGAATCCCACATCACTGTGGCATCTAAGCTCTTCCCAGACGTACTGTTAACATAGGATCCACGTACTTTCACACTTCTTGTTGGGACTACAACCTGGACACTGCCATCACGCGCTTGTCGATATCGGCTATTTCGGTCATTCCATTGCACATCATAAGCAAATGTGTTGCCATTCTTTTGGTCCCAGGTAATGAGGGCTTTGTTTTGCATTTGCATAGGGAGTCTCTTTACCACAGTCTCAATTCCCATTGTTCTCACTGGGTGGATAATCATGAATTTCAAGTCGGTGTCCACGTTAGAACTGACAGTTCTATCATTGTAGACTGTCTCAAACTTGACGTTACTCTCAAGCTCATCTTGGTTCCAATTAAGGAAGAGATCTGTGCTAAACTGGTTCCTCTCATACTGACCATCAACTCTCATTGACATGGGCTGAGGTGTTCTTACATTGACAGAACACTCATGTCGACGCCCATGAGTATAGTCCATGTCTGCATCCAGATAAGATTTTCCGTTGTAGTCAAAAGCGATCCTCTCAGCAAGCTTTTCAGAATTGTGCATGTGATCCAACTTGAAGTTAGCAGTGGCAAGTTGGCTAAATGGAGTTGTGATGGATGTTCCAGTAGCTAGGTCCACCCCATTCATATTGTTTACAAAGCGGAATGTTGAAGAAGTGGTGATAACTTTGTTTTCTTGCCAACCAACTTCAGAACGGAGCTCGGACAACTCTTCTGTCCTTAAGCCTCTTAACAATATTCTTATCTTTTCCATGTTCTTCAAGCCGCTTGACATTGTGAACAACCCATTATAATCCCTTCCAGTACGGAAGACGCTCGACAATTCACCAGTTATTGTTTCCATTTGGGGAAGATTTGCTGTCAATGTTGTTTTAAAGTCACGGATATGTTTTCCCCGATGTGTGAAGAGCACTGTTATTTGTTCATATCCTGTGAAAGGAGTATTCACCGTAGCGCTGCCTCTATAAGGGGCGCCACTGGTATCAACAGTTGACTCTGCAGTGATAGCACCATGCTTGCCAACATTAGCAGTGGCAGAGAATGTGTGACGGCTGTTTCTCTTCTCATAGTTTCCAGATGCTTTGATATTTCTGTATCCTTCATGGGGAGTGATGATGTTCAGCGTGCCAGTGAACGGGACAGTGTAGGCTACATTCACATCAGCGGAGTAGGCACTGCGTCTGTTACGGTAAACCTCTGCCTCCGCTATCAGTCTGTCTTTCCTTAAGCTATGCATATATGTTAATTTGTAATCTTCATGGCCCTTGTGAGGTGTCTTTAGTTCAACGGTAGTTTCAATCCTCCTTTTACCTTGTTTCAGGTTTTCAATTCTTGCTTCGTACTCCATGTTATCCCGAATGTTGAATCTAGCATTGGTCGTGAAATGGGTTTCATCCCCAGTATGATCAAAGGAACCTCCGATATCAGTATATCGTTTCCAGGGGGTGGTAAGTCTAAAATTACCCCTTGATATTCTGCCCTTCTGGAAAGATGTAACAGCATGGACTACTTTGGTGTTGAACTTTCCCCCAAGCTCTGCATTAAAGTTATTAATGTCCCCTTGCTTGACAGCTGTGACTCCAACAGATCTGCTTTCACCCTGCCAAGTGTATCCCGAGTCATAACGAACACTGAAGTCTGTGCCACTAACCTTGAAAGTTATATCTTCGTCAAGCTTGTAGGCTGAACCATAAGCCACTTCTGATTTGGTTGAGAAGTCTGTCCAGTTACCATTCATCATATAGGTTACTTTCATGTCTTCAAGGTATGGTGACTTCAGCACAGACGCAATTCCAAAACGGTCATCTTTCATTGCAAACTGAAGTGCACCTTCATGGTTCTTAGTGCCATATGTTAGGATTCCCTTCAATTTGAAGTCGTTAATCGTACCTTCTCTATTTATCTTGGCATTTATGTTTTCAAATCCTGGGAATGGTGTCTTCACGAAAAGGGATCCAACTGTTTTAGAATCATGTCTAAATGAAACATCTCCCTCAATTCGCTGATTGGCATACTGGACTTCTGTCTTAGATGTGAAATCCCTCCATGTTTTACCTTGATGATTAAGGGTTACTCTGATGGTCTCAAACCCCTTAAATGGTGAGTGGAGTGTTACAGTGCCACCAACTCCATTATTCAAATTCAGATACAGGTCTGATTCAATCTTCCTCCCTGGTCCGTAACTTGCCTCAACGTGGGTCTGAATATTTTGCCTGGTCATGGCATGGTTAAAATTAGCTGAAATAACTCTGTACTTTTCAAAAGGAGTCTTCAAAGATGCTCGTCCCTCCATTGCAATGCCTGGTTTCTTGAAAGATATCTCAGCTTCAAACTTCCCATACTTAGGATAGGGGGTAACAAGGGCCGTGTCAAGTGCAAAATCAGTAATAGAATTGATATGATATGTAGTGTTCAGGACGATGACTTTGCTGGGATGATATTCCATTTTCAACTGACACATCTTGTCACGTCTGTTTGTGAGATGGCTACCTGTCACCTGAAGGTATCTGAACTGCTTGAAGGGTGTGTCTAACCTGAACGCACAACTGAGCTGTTTAACAAGGTTCCAGCTGGCTTCTGCTGCCACTTTCCCCATCAATGGCCGCAGTTCAACATCGGCGGAAACTTTGGCGACCTTCTTAACTGATCCAGACATTTCAATTCCACTTTCAAAATGTTGCATCTTTGGGAAGGAAGAGTCGATACTTACTCTGAAATTCTTCAAGTTGTCTAGGTTAACATGAGTTTCTCCTGTAATGAACATACCAAGGCCATACTCTAGTGTTAGTTTGGATACGTATTCTCCACTTCGTTTTTTGTTCTTTAACTTTAAAACGATATTTCCTGCATCCTTGAATGGTGTCGTGATCCTAACACTGGAGTCAACACTGTGAACAGCAGTCTGCAAATCAAGGTACACATCCATTGATATCTTCTGAGTTCTTGCCCACTGGAATTCTGCATGTCCTCTCTTTGGATTACTCTCATATTCATTCACATTCACTTTACCTATGATGTCATTTTCTAGCAGTGACCCAGTTAGGCTGACATCAAACTCAGCAAGACCGTGATTTCTTCGGTAATTAGAGTCAAGCAGGACCAGAGTTTGTCTGTCACTCTTAGCTAATGTATGCAGCTTGAGATATCCTTTTCCTTGTTCGTAGCTAAGGTTAACATCTACATCATTAACTGGTGTCCAAGGTGTCTGGATAATTACTGCGCTGTTCACCTTGGTGTTGACTATCTTTTCATAGTCAGCGCTGACATCAACACGAATCTTCTGTCCTTTGCCCCAATCGGTGTTAAAAACGGTACTTAGAGCATAAGGGCGATGCTCATGATGAAGGGTCGTAGTTATCTTGTGATTTGGAGATGTGAGGACAAGTTTACCATTTCCATTGAAATTTATTCTCGTATTTATAGCATTCATGTCGAATTCTGCTTTGTACATGTCTCCATTGTCATTATATTTCACTTTGCTTTTACTATATGTATGCCCATCGTCACTGTGTTCAATGGTGACAGATACAATTCTGTATGCACGTTGACTGGACTTAAATACAATCCCTGCCTGGATGTCTCTTTTGAGAGTTGTGACAGCATACTCAGCATTAAACTTTATGTCAGCATTGTGAGGCCCAACAACATACCTGACTTGAGTCAGTAGTGTTTTATCAAACTTATTGATGACATTCATCTCAATGGCTTCTAATCCCTTGAATGGTGTTGTTGCAGCAAAGCTGAGACCCAAGTTTGTTATTGTGAAAGGCTTGTCCATACTTGCAGTGGCTGATATCTGTTTACGCCCATACCCTGCAGAGCCCTTAACACTGACGTCCTTCCTGTCGTTGGAATAGTCGAAGTCTCCAGCAATCTTTTCATAATTCTCAATAGGACTTCTAAATTCAAAGTTTCCTCCCATTCTCCTGTTGGCCCCACCTTTGTTATGGAATAGAACCGATCCAGAATACCTCGGCCTAGCAGCAGTCTCTCCATTTAATTCAGTGTCAAAGGCCGCTTTATATTTATCACCGTATTTTCCACCGTTCGCTGTGATTGTGACCTGTTTCTTGAGGTAGTCTACCACCAGCTTCCATTTACCATTCTTCTGTTTTGTATTGACAACAGACTCCCCTGTTAACCCATAGACGTCACCTTTCCTGGTTACCTTCCCTGAGAGTTTAAGATTTTTCCAGTTAAGATTTGCAGATCCATCAAAACGTACAGGCTCATATCCATGGATAACTGCTTCACTTGATAACTCAACGCTGTTTGACGTAGGTCTCTCAAAAGACGTCACGAGTGTAGACTTTTGTCCCTTCTGCAGATTCAGATTTGTGATGTGTAGGTATTTAGAGCGGCTTTTCTGTGTGAGATTACTGACAAATTCTATGTCACGTCCAGGGTAGGCGAGGGTAAATGAACCCTCTAAGTTGAGCAGTTTGTTGCGAGTGCGATCTCGAAGTTTGAAGGCTGTGTTTAGATTCTGTTTCTTGCCATAGGACACGGACAGGGAGGAGGCCAGGTTCCTCTTGTCATGACTGTGATGACCCTTAGCATGGATGTTCACATCCTGAAAACATAAATTTGAGAATGACCCAATTGCTTCAAGAAACTGGATGCAGTGTCCTTTCATGTATGTCAACAGACCCGTGAAGATCCGGGTTAGAATTGGACTTCAGTAACCCATGCTTGTCGTTAGAGGCGACTAACGGGATCGGGTGGACAGGCAAGCTGACTTTATTGATACATGTCATCATATCTCGATTGCGTAGATCGATGCTCACTGGATTGTCTGGTCCAGACTCGACTATTTACAGACCGCCGCCATATAGCTTGACTATTGCTGAGTGCGGCGTTTAATAGCAACCAAACCAAACCACATGTTATAGCGTTTTAAATGTACCTACTTTGGGAGGGTAGACGGCTTTGACATTATAGTCAATAGATGCAGGGCTGCCAGAGGAAGCGACCTTGTGGTCCACAGAAGCAAGTAGGCTTAACTCCTTCCTCTTGTCCTTCATGTCACGTACAGTTGCCCCGTGCCGGAACTTCATCTCGAACTCCTTGTGGCGAGACATGCTGTTCACGCCCACATCTAGGATCATGTTGTATTCCTTGTTCTGTTTCACATCCAAGTTGCTGCGAAATTGAAGCAAAATGTGTAACTGACATTTGTTTTATTATAACATGTTACCTTTAGAATGTGCATTAGTCCATGCATAATATTCACATTCAAACGATATCACAAGGGAATCAACTTACAAAACCGAAGCTTCTCGCAGCTATATGACCCTAACGCCAGCTGTTCATGTGAAATTGTAAGAGGGGTCTGTCAGCTAAGATATGACGATGTAAAGAGGCATACTGTACCTATTAAGCTTGTATGTCTTTGACGTCTTCGTGCTTCTGTCAATAAACTTGCTGCTGAAAGTAATTGTTTGTTTCTTGATTTTAGGGAGAGTGTAGTCGAGGACCAACTGGCTGGACATGGTCCCTTTGCCCCTCTTCTCCAAGGTGGAGCTCATCTTCAGAGTGATGAAATCCGAGGTGAGTTGGGCGCTGCCCTTAAACCGTCTGAGCCTCTTTCTCTTCATGTTCTCAGATCGGACCAAGTTAGCTGAATAAAAGGATATATCTTGACAAGTTAATACATTTCAATAGTGAATCATTGTTACTACGCATGTCAGGAACAAAGTGTTTTAAATGAAACCTTTTTCACAATTTGATCCCCAAAATTACTAACCGCATGGAGCCAAGTGTCTTATTAGTGTGGATCCAGATATGAAACATGCGTGTGCTTCACTTACCCTTGAATTTGAAGGGATTCTGAAGGATCGGTTCCATCCGGACCACTGTGTCTACCTTGAAGGACTTTCTAGTTTTGTACTCGGCTGATCCTTTCAGGTTGATAATCTCTCTCTTTGGCATACTGATGACAAGGGTGGGCACGATGCGTGTGGTTGCTTTCCCGCTGTTTGCTATCAAAGCTCGTGCAAGGAACATATACTCATCCTTTTTGTACTTGTAGGATCCGCTCAAGGTCTTCTCGGCCTCTGTGTTGACGTAGCCAGCTGGCGGGACACAGGGGAATATACAGGGCTTAGTTATGTGAACCACAGGGGGAATATATAGCGCTTATTAATATGTACCGTAGGGGGAATATACAGGGCTTATTTATATGAATCACAGGGGGAATATATAGCGCTTATTAATATGTACCGCAGGGGTAATATACAGGGCTTATTAATGTGAATCACAGGGGGAATATACAGGGCTTATTAATAAGAATCACAGGGGTAATATACAGGGCTTATTAATGTGTATCACAGGGGGAATATACAGGGCTTATTAATATGAATCACAGGGGGAATATACAGGGCTTATTAATGTGAATCACAGGGGGAATATATAGGGCTTATTAATGTGAATCACAGGGGGAATATACAGGGCTTATTAATGGGAATCACAGGGGGAATATACAGGGCTTATTAATGGGAATCACAGGGGGAATATACAGGGCTTTTTAATGTGAATCACAGGGGGAATATACAGGGCTTATTAATGTGAATCACAGGGGGAATATACAGGGCTTATTAATGTGAATCACAGGGGGAATATATAGGGCTTATTAATGTGTATCACAGGGGTAATATACAGGGCTTATTAATGTGAATCACAGGGGGAATATACAGGGCTTATTAATGTGAATCACAGGGGAATATATAGGGGGCTTATTATCACATATGAATACCAGGGCTTATTAATGTGAATCACAGGGGAATATACAGGGGGGGGGAATATACAGGGCTTATTAATGTGAATCACAGGGGGAATATACAGGGCTTATTAATGTGAATCACAGGGGGAATATACAGGGCTTATTAATGTGAATCACAGGGGGAATATACAGGGCTTATTAATGTGAATCACTTATTAATGTGAGATCACAGGGGGAATATATAGGGCTTATTAATGTGTACCACAGGGGAATATACAGGGCTTATTAATGTGAATCACAGGGGGAATATACAGGGCTTATTAATGTGAATCACAGGGGGAATATACAGGGCTTATTCATGTGAATCACAGGGGGAATATATAGGGCTTATTAATGTGAATCACAGGGGGAATATACAGGGCTTATTAATGTGTATCACAGGGGGAATATACAGGGCTTATTAATGTGAATCACAGGGAGAATATACAGGGCTTATTAATGTGAATCACAGGGGGAATATACAGGGCTTATTAATGTGTATCACAGGAGGAATATACAGGGCTTATTAATGTGAATCACAAGGGGATGTACAGGGCTTATTAATGTGAATCATAGACACAATATCTGCTATACTAATCTGTTGTTTAGGAGTTGGGACCATGGATCTTACACTTTGTACAGACAAGGGTACTGTGTGCCAGTACAGTATGAATATTAGAACAATATATGGCCATATATTATGCAATCAGCTTTAAATCTGTCGGCCACTGCATTCTGCTAAGTCTTACATTAAAACATAATAAAGAGCTAAACATCTAAACATGATGTACTATTTTTCAGAATAGTCCCCTGCCACATTGACACACTTTCGTTAGGGAGATGGTATCACGAATTTGTAGACATAGCTTAGCTGTCCAAAGCGTTCTCGACAGCTGCTATGACGAGGTTTTCGTCGTGTTTGGGTACAGATATGAATATGGCGCACCAAGATCAAGAGAATCAAGTGGATGCTGAAGACGGCCAGAGATACAATCGTGGACTGTATCCACGGTAGTAACTAACATGTGCACTGGTGTATTGTCCTGATGGAAGAACACACTTGTTCAAACCTTCCAATGTCTGTTAGTCCTAACTCTATACCGCAGTTGCCTCAAAAGTGGAACATGCGTGCTCAACTCTTGAAGAATTGCTTTTAGTGTTTAGCCCTTTTCTGCAAATATTACATCACTGTACATTATTCAAGTTGGACAATTTTCCTAAACACGAAAGACTGATTTTACAAACGTGCCAAAGCGAAACAATTTGCTAAACTGACTGACGTTTTGTGGATGTACATCTGTGGCAATGTCCACAACAAAAGTTAGTTTTAATCAATTCCTTCTATGTTAGGCTCGGAACTTTAAGTTCCGATCAGTCAACCCTCGTATATTGGACGACGACTTAGTTATTACCTTTAACATTTGCCGGCTCTGCTGTGATGATGTCTGTAGTGAGGTCGATATCGATCTTCTGAACGCCGTCCCTGGTGATGGAGCCAGTGAGAATCTGCTGTGTGTTACTCAGTCTCCGCAACTCAACCGTGGGCAGGTACGTCACCTGACTTCCCTTCTTGCTGATCCTGACCTGGGTGTCAAGGCCGTACATATCCTTCTGGTCAAGGAGGAGGGTCCCCTTGAGCTGCTTCATGTTGACGCTGTCCACCAGAGACGCTACAACACACGGAACCTTTTACCACCAGCATTTCACAGACTTAGTTAAAACCGTTAATGATAACACTTTAAATATTCATCTATACATGTAACACCAAGAATCCCACTTCTTTTTCGACATAGCGTAATTCTTTGAAGAATTCGGTCTGTTATAACTTTTATAAAATCGAACGCTAAATTCACCTCGACAGTACGATGCCTGATCTGTCCACACCGTGTTTGAGGTCGCAGGTGTCACTACGTCAATGTCGGTTTTCAACTCATATTACGCTGCCGCGCTCTGACAAAACTGAAGTGCTTCCCATAGTGGGGTGAAACCAACCAAGACCCAACACATGTTATACCCAGTGAGAAGGTGTATATATAGAGAGAGAATTTTCTGGGTTTCACCTTGTTTTATTTGTTTGGTAAACCCAGAAAATTATCTATGTTCATCTATAGCATCTTGTAAGATGCCAGTCAAACATCTTAGGTATATATAGCTTACATGTAAATGTAGCTTTTTTCCAAGGGGAGACAAGTCCGATTTCCATTGCCTTCTCTTTGTAGCTGACTGCTACATCAAGAGACATGGCTCGTTTCACGCTGGAGCCAGGAGTATCAAATCCTAGCTGGCCAAATAACTTGTCCCGTGTCTAAAATAGAAATAACGAATGAATTATGTTGACGTCAATGATTGTGTAGGAAGTGGATTTTGAGTAATACTACCAGCCAATCAGAGATGTTTACACAGTCACTGATCACTCAGTTACCGACAATAATACATAATAACAATTAATCAATTGCTTCCGTAGTTGGTAAGATTGATCACTGTGTTACACTGTGTACTACACATTCAAAGACTAAATTTATACACTTTGACGTTGTAAAAGTATACTCGACTTATTTAATGCATTATGAGGGCTGTGATCAATCCTTTGTACATTGTGTAAAATTCATAATTGCTGACTGCTACCATCGTGGTCTATATACTAAAATTAAATATTTAAAAATCTACTACTCAGAGAAGAACTAAGAATGCAGTAATACTCATGAGTTCAATTCGACGACATGGGCCAAATTGTTTTTCTAATGACTCGTTAAATATTTACTGTAAACAAGATATTGGTCGCAGACTTACAGAAATGCTCTTGACGACCATCTTGTATCCAGAATGCGTGTCCTTCTTGGACAGTGTTAAACCGAAACTAACAGGTCCGGTGAATGGGAAGTATGGCGAGTCGGTGATCATGGATGCGTTGGGGAAGGAGATCTCTCCACACAGTTCTACCCCGGTGAACTTGGCCAGACGGTCTCCCGAACAAACCCTCCTCGTCTTCCTGTTCTCTTGAATCATCCTCTGCTCCTTCTCCACCTTGTCGTGCACCATGAAGAAGGTGGACCTGATTGGCACAGTAGGGGTCGTGTTAGTGGCTGACTCAGCTAACCAGGGAGCGAGTACAATGTACAGATAGGCGTGTTGCGGGGCCACAGCCCGTCGTGAGTAATACAACCGTGGAGATAAACCATTAGTAAGATAATAATTAATGACAAAAGACAAAGCGAACTGATTGCTTACGCTAACCTGTACATGAAATAGATTTGATTCCTTATCAATGTATACTGACTGGGTCAAGTGATTAAAATTCGTACTGCGGAGCTCAAAGCTAGGAATTATGCAGAGCATGGCATAACTATGCTGTAAGATATCGATTAGTTTTCGAGCAGCAAGTACTGCGAACCAGTGACTAGCTAAAAAGGAAAGTGAAGTGAGTGCTATTGAAAGAAGCTATTCTGGCCCATACTTGACATTGAAGATCTCCATTTTGTCCTGGGGCAAGTCCAGCTCCAAGTTGAAGATCTGCCCTCTGGACAGCTCCACGCGGCCTTTGAGACTGGTACTTGAGTGGACACTGGATACCATCTTCAGGCCTGTCTTCGCCACAAAGGCATCAACTGTCATCGTCCCTGTGATCTCTACGGCACCACTGAAATGCAACCCGTGTTCTTAACAAACCGTACTACCTGGGATGATAAGTCACAAAGATAATGCACAGCGCAACCTGTTACACCGGACCAAGGCATTTGATCAACATGACATCTCCCATTGCAGGGATGACAGGTAGTAGAAATTGTGAAGAGAAATGCTGAACATATGTTTTTGTTCCGTAAACCTAATTAACTATCAGAATTAGTTAGGGAGCAGTTGGTTTGAAATATATGCCCAACTGTGGTACATATTAAGAATGACAATCTTTCTAGCCTGAACTACCTACACCTGATCTACTTGCGTTACCCCACATGGGTATAATGAGTGAAGCCCATTCCTGGTGTCCCCCGCCGTCATATTGCTGGAATATAGCTATAAACGGCGTAAAACCTAACTCACTCACGCACATCGCTGTTTATGGCTTCTAAACTGGTTCTTCACGATGACAGTACTATAAGACGATCTCGATATATAGTTTTGTTCAACATTAATAAGTTATTGGCGGCTATGAGCCTACTAGCATAACCACTGCCAACAGAAACATCCTGGAGAATCGATTAACAATGTCGTTTTTTAGCCTAAGACCAGCCGGCTCTGAGCGCCACGGAAACTGCTATTTTCTGCCACAGTAGGCAGTGTATGTTTTACTTAATTGTACGGATTCTGATGTTTGAAGATGTTTGAAGCTGTTAAGACCAAGGGCTGGAATTTGGAATTAGATACTTGAATTTGACAAATTAAATACCAAACACTCTTCACTGTCCTCATACAATGTAGGTATTGGAAACAATTAACTTGTCATAAAATAGCGTCACATAACACGAACTATCATTCCGTTGTACACCCACCTGGGCTGCATGAGGCCCTCGATAAGCAGGCTGGTGGGTTTTGTTGCCAGGTTGCGTAGATCTAGCTTGCCCTTGACATTCATGTTGATAGTGGCAGCTCCGTGAACAGTGAGGTTGAGGGGGAGCCCGGCACAGGTTGGCACGATGATGCTGCTGTCCATGAACATGAGGTTGTTGGTGAACGAATAATCGTGGTCCTTTGACATCTTGATTAAGAAGTCAAGGAAATTGAACTTGTCCTTGGTAAGAGGCCAGCTGTCTGAGTCGAAGTGCATGTATCTCAACTCGTTACCAAAGATTCTCAGGAACATAGCGGCGTGAAGGTCATCTTTCACTTGTGCATACTGAAACATGAAATATGTCAACGTGATTTAAGAGTAAGTGATACATTATTAAACGCAAATAAAACAAAATCATATAGAACCTGTGTATTTTACTGTTATATTGCAAATGTCACATTGCTAGCTAACCTTCTGTTTCATTCTGTCCATCTTGTCTTTACGAACTGATCTGGAGTCTTCATAGCCCTTTTTCTTGCTACCAACATCAGTCGGGGAATCTGCACCAAAGAAAGATTCCAAAACACTCTCCAGACCCTCGACACGTCCCCCCATCTCAAACAGGTTGACTGATTGACCAAACAGGTCAACGGTCAAGTTAACGGAGGCCGATCTGGGAAGGAAGGACTTGGATGAAAATATCAAGTTGCTCTCAACCATTGCACCCGCATTGAACTTCTCCCAGAAAAAGGAGCCTTCGTAATTCCTGGAGAACTTCCTCTTGTCTAGATCAAATTCTCGCGAGAGTTGCTCGTCCTCCAGAATGTAGCGGATCTGCTGCTTGAGGGGGCTGGATGTTTCCTGCAGGTTCATGAGGTGTGACCAAACAAAGGACCCCACTTGGTTAGCCTTCTCCACCTCCAGGGTCGCACGCACTTGTGTCAGGATCGTTTCAACAGGGCACTGCATGGCTACCAAGTAGGCGGCGATCCTCACCTCGGCGTCAGATTCACTGTCCATATACAGCTGCATAGCGTTGTTTCTCTGTGGAAATAAATTGTTTTGTAAAACAAAATCTATTATTTGTGGAATTCTTACATGGACTTGTTCTATCGGGTTAAAAACCTAGAGGATGCTTGAGAACTCACATCAGCACCACAAGGAATTCGACGGAAGGCATCAAGGGCGGCAACTCGGATCTCCATTGTGTTCTTCTCCCTAGTGAAGCAAGGTTCTAGAGCCAGAGATAACCTTTCAGCATTTCCGATGTTACCAATAGCCCGAAGCGTCAGGAGAATCTGTGCAATAAAGGTCAATTGTTTAGTTTTCATATTTAGGCCCATATCAAACACATCATGTATTAATTAATATAGATAAATAATGATAATTAGAAATGACACTGTAAATTGATTTTGTAAGATTCTAATTATCAGCATAACCCAAAGTGTAACATTTTAGCAAACACATTATACAGTGATCGAGTTGTGTTGCATTAACATACATCTTCGTCGTTCTTATCCGTCACGACACAGCCTCTGCCGATGTCATTCTCGAGTATGGAGAGGATGCGGTCGACGGCTGGGACCTTCGTGCATTCCGGAGTCTTCAGACAGAAGTTGTTCACCATGGCCGCCACAAGGATCTTCGTCTTCTTTGAGTGTGATGTCAGCATGAGCGGCTTCAACAGACACAGGTATGGGATATAGTGGGGACACACTACATGTACATGTATATAATATAACACAAGGGCGGAGCAAACCATATTACATGGTGGGAACACTAGGCTCCCTGACCTCCTTCATGTAAACCTATAGCAAGCCGTTTTTACACTGTTTTCATGTTTTATACGTGAACGTATGAATAATGTTTTTAAGATGTCGGTAAATAACTGAAGATATTTTGAACTAATTTCTGATATCCAAAGTAGAATTACTGATATCATAAAATGGTACTGAGATATCAAGACAATATTTCGTAATATCTCTAAATGTGTAACCTCTACACAATCATATTTGCAATTACTTCAAGATGTCTTAAATTCAGTTCAAGATCTCATGAAATATTGCACACTATCATTAATTCGTTTAAGATATCTTTAATTCAATATAAGAAATATCCTCAATTCCGAACGTTACAGATATTTAAAATGCAATTCAAGGTATCATTACATTTTAGGAAGAGTAGCTATATATTAATTGTTGATATTCAGAAAATAAGTAACAGCAAAGAACGGCAAAACAAGGGGACATGGTCGACATGTATCTTCAGATATGTGCGGTTTCATATCCGGTTATACCGGTTCCTAAACGGCGACCAGCGACACCGGCGGAGCCGGGATCCAGACCCGAGGCGAAATTCATTTCACAGGGAGAGTTGTCACCCTTTGGCACAAAATCATCCATTCAAGATATTAACAGTTAATTAATGATATCTGTATTTAATTGCAAGATATCAGAAATTGAATATTTGATATAATTATAAACATGAATTTGCTTCATGTCTTTTACCCTATTTTGATATCATTAATAGAATTTAAGATATCAGCAATTCAAGATATCCTTGACACGCTTCCTCACACCTTAACATCAGTTCGTAATATCATGAATTTCATTTCAGATATCCTTAATAAACTCTATTCGAGAGGTCTCTAATTCATTGTAACATATCTTCAGTTCAGGATATCTTTAAACCAACAGAAAACTTTAGTAATTTCTTGATAAATGTGTGAACGGCGTGCCATAAGAACGACTTGTGTGCATGAGAAGGGCTGACGGTGCAGTGTCGGCCGTGTTACCTGGACCTCTGTGATCATCTCCACTGTTGGGTGTTGTATGAAGGCGAGTGAAGTCAACCACATGTCGGCCTGGGTATCATCCACATCCTTCGCCGTCATCAGTTCTCGCATCATCTTGATGGCGTCAACAGAGCCGATCATCGGGATAGCGTCAATGAAGAATTTCCTGGAGCAGGTGATTAACTTTTTTAAATAAAGCTGGATGCACTTCAGCTACAGCTACTAAACCCTAGGCAATCATCGAAATTGTTTCGGGTTATCCAGATTTTTTCAGAGATAATCAAGATCAAGATAACTGACGTGGAACACTGAACCAGGTATCGCACCAATACAACTTGTCTACAAAGAGACCCTCGTACTCCGGACAGCAAGGTTCTTGGGGAAATCGACCGATTCACACATTTCTGCAGCACATGCCTGCAGTTACATCGATTCAGTTCCATAAAGACTATCCAAACAATATTACGTAAAGAGAGGTTTTATAGCAACGGTGTTCGGACCATGAAACTTCCTCTTAACAAATGATATATTTAAACGAATCTACGGTTCATCTGAATTTCGTTGTCTAAGCGTTGCCGCCTTACGGACAGGTGTGTTTAATCGTTAACTGATGCAGGGGAAATAAAGGGTGAAGGGGAAGGACTGACTTTCCGATCCTGGAGTTTTTGCCGCAGATGTGTCCGGTTTTCAGCTGTCTGTACAGAGCCCGCAGAGACCGGAAGTTGGAGTTCTTCAGAATGTAAACCAGTTCTGAAAACATCTGGGGGACCTCGGGGCGGATGTCCGTCGCCGTCACCCTGCACAGCTCTTGCATCTTCGTGCTTGCGTCATGACGGTTCACCTCCTCGTCACGCAGGCCGTACGTGTGTTCAAAGGTCAGGGCGCTTCTACTGGCTACTAAGCCTGTAATGTCCAACATGATACCATCAATTGTTTTTAAACTTGGATATATGATAGTGAGCAAATGTTTCATACATTTATTACGACACGGCTTGATAAGCGTCCTGGATTGCATATCTGGGACCTGAGGACCTCACGTCATGATGTCGGCCACTATATTAATATTCTGGTCTATACTAAGCCGCAACAAGCAGCTGTGGGGGTGGAATATCGCTCATCACAATGTACAATTTTCACAGCCTAATGCTTAGCCTCTACAAATGTATAGTTTGATAGATACGATAACTTCATTGAATCTGAAAGGGAGTTAAGGTGATAGGTGAGATAACCTGTGGAAGATTTTAGACTTACTTCATTTCACTTTACAGACGGGCATGGGGAATAGGCAAATCGGTCAAGGGACACTGCTGCAGACTCTCGCTGCCCTAGGTAACACCTACCTTGCTGGCTGCGGACGTAAGGTCGAGTTCTCCTGTATTCCAGGGTGTGTGATGCCTCGGTCATAGCCCCATTGTTGTCCTTAGAGAAGGGCCTGAACACATGCGTCTCGCTGCAGGTGGAGCGCCGGAGGATACCCTCACTCATGATAGTCTGACTGCACTCGTGGGTGCTCTTCAGAAGGGGGAGGGAGTGCACGGCCTGGAAATAAAAGCAGGGATTACAGAGATGTCTTCATCGTTTAGAAGACATTACGAAATGCTATGGTTAATTAAATGTGCAAAATGAGGACTGTTTCTTACGTTTGGCATCTTGTATGGCAGAGAGTGGAAGGACGTTTTGTAGCCGTGCCTGTTTTCGCAGCCCTGCAGATCCTTGCTCTTTTTGATGATGGAAGTTGTCCGACCTCTCTGTGTGACCCGATAGTCCGTGAAGCACTCGCCGGCCACGTCACTCTGAACATAACACAATACCATGAACAGTGTACATGACACAATATCATGAACACTGTACATGACAAAATACCACGAACATACCAGCATCATGACACCTCACCGCCCTTGTCACCTCCCATGACACGCCAGCATCATGACATCTCACCACCCTTGTCACCTCCCGCGACATACCAGCATCATGACATCCCATCACCCTTTTCACCTCACATGACATACCAGCATCATGACATCTCACCACCCTTGTCACCTCCCATGAAATACCAGCATCATGACATCTCACCACCCTTGTCACCTCCCATGACATACCAGCATCATGACATCTCACCACCCTTGTCACCTCCCATGACATACCAGCATCATGACATCTCACCACCCTTGTCACCTCCCATGACATACCAGCATCATGACATCTCACCACCCTTGCCACCTCCCACAACATACCAGCATCATGACATCTCACCACCCTTGTCACCTCCCATGACATACCAGCATCATGATATCTCACCACCCTTGTCACCTCCCACAACATACCAGCATCATGGCATCTCACCACCCTTGTCATCACCCGCAACATACCAACATCATGACGTCTCACCACCCTTGTCATCTCCGATGACATACCAGCATCATGAAATCTCACCACCTTTGTCACCTCCCATGACATACCAGCATCATGACATCTCACAACCCTTCTCATATCCCATGACATACCAGCATCATGACATCTCACCACCCTTCTCACCTCCCATGACATACCAGCATCATGACATCTCACCACCCTTGTCACCTCCCATGACATACCAGCATCGTGACATCTCACCACCCTTGTCACCTCCCACAACATACCAGCATCATGATATCTCACCACCCTTGTCACCTCCCATGACATACCAGCATCATGACATCTCACCACCCTTGTCAACTCCCACGACATACCAGCATCATGACATCTCACCACCCGTGTCACCTCCCACAACATATCAGAATCATGACATCTCACCACCCGTGTCACCTCCCATGACATGCCAGCATCATGGCATCTCACCACCCTTGTCACCTCCGTTAACATATCAGAATCATGACATCTCACCACCCGTGTCACCTCCCACAACATACCAGAATCATGACATCTCACCACCCTTGTCACCTCTCATGACATACCAGCATCATGACATCTCACCACCCTTGTCACCTCCCACGACATACCAGCATCGTGACATCTCACCACCCTTGTCACCTCGCATGACATACCAGCATCGTGACATCTCACCACCCTTGTCACCTCCCACAACATACCAGCATCATGATATCTCACCACCCTTGTCACCTCCCCATGACATACCAGCATCATGACATCTCACCACCCGTGTCACCTCCCATGACATACCAGCATCATGACATCTCACCACCCGTGTTACCTCCCACAACATATCAGAATCATGACATCTCACCACCCTTGTCACCTCCATGACATGCCAGCATCATGGCATCTCACCACCCTTGTCACCTCCGTCAACATATCAGAATCATGACATCTCACCACCCTTGTCACCTCCCACAACATACCAGCATCATGACATCTCACCACCCTTGTCACCTCCCACGACATACCAGCATCGTGACATCTCACCAGCCTTGTCACCTCGCATGACATACCAGCATCGTGACATCTCACCACCCTTGTCACCTCCCACAACATACCAGCATCATGATATCTCACCACCCTTGTCACCTCCCATGACATACCAGCATCATGACATCTCACCACCCGTGTCACCTCCCATGGCATACCAGCATCATGACATCTCACCACCCGTGTTACCTCCCACAACATATCAGAATCATGACATCTCACCACCCTTGTCACCTCCCATGACATGCCAGCATCATGGCATCTCACCACCCTTGTCACCTCCGTCAACATATCAGAATCATGACATCTCACCACCCTTGTCACCTCCCACAACATACCAGCATCATGACATCTCACCACCCTTGTCACCTCCCACGACATACCAGCATCGTGACATCTCACCACCCTTGTCACCTCGCATGACATACCAGCATCGTGACATCTCACCACCCTTGTCACCTCCAACAACATACCAGCATCATGATATCTCACCACCCTTGTCACCTCCCATGACATACCAGCATCATGACATCTCACCACCCGTGTCACCTCCCATGGCATACCAGCATCATGACATCTCACCACCCTTGTCACCTCCCACAACATACCAGCATCATGACATCTCACCACCCTTGTCACCTCTCATGACATACCAGCATAGTGACATCTCACCATCCTGGTCATCCTCCCACGAGACACTAGCGCAACGACATTTTACAGTGCACACAGCATGTGTATTTTATACCACACTTTGCACCGTGTTCTCCTCTAGCCCTGGGTGTTCCTGTGACCTTCACCTACATGGAGTCACTGTATACATCACTGCTGTCAAGACAATTACAACGTGCAGAATCAGCGGAAACACCTCCTTTCTGTGGAGCTGCTCAACTCCAACCAACTAGGCTCCACTACAACACTCGGAAACTGTCACTTATAACAACCTTTTGACATAAACAACTACAATGCACATCTTCTCTGCACCGGGGAAATAGCTTGTGGTGCCCCGCATTGTCATGATGTGAGTGTCCTGATGTGACGTTATTGTCCGTAAGTCAGTACAACAACATCTAGGAAACACACAAGACACACATTTGAAGTGATAAACAGTGATATTTAAAACAGTGCAATCAGTGAACAACAGTTTCATGCACAACCAGGAGACTCTCTCCACAGTTTATGACACAGTGCGTCTTGCGATCGTTTAAGTCCTCCCTGACATCATGACATCTCACCACCCGTGTCACCTCCCATGACATGCCAGCATCATGGCATCTCACCACCCTTGTCACCTCCGTTAACATATCAGAATCATGACATCTCACCACCCGTGTCACCTCCCACAACATACCAGAATCATGACATCTCACCACCCTTGTCACCTCTCATGACATACCAGCATCATGACATCTCACCACCCTTGTCACCTCCCACGACATACCAGCATCGTGACATCTCACCACCCTTGTCACCTCGCATGACATACCAGCATCGTGACATCTCACCACCCTTGTCACCTCCCACAACATACCAGCATCATGATATCTCACCACCCTTGTCACCTCCCATGACATACCAGCATCATGACATCTCACCACCCGTGTCACCTCCCATGGCATACCAGCATCATGACATCTCTCCACCCGTGTTACCTCCCACAACATATCAGAATCATGACATCTCACCACCCTTGTCACCTCCCATGACATGCCAGCATCATGGCATCTCACCACCCTTGTCACCTCCGTCAACATATCAGAATCATGACATCTCACCACCCTTGTCACCTCCCACAACATACCAGCATCATGACATCTCACCACCCTTGTCACCTCCCACGACATACCAGCATCGTGACATCTCACCAGCCTTGTCACCTCGCATGACATACCAGCATCGTGACATCTCACCACCCTTGTCACCTCCCACAACATACCAGCATCATGATATCTCACCACCCTTGTCACCTCCCATGACATACCAGCATCATGACATCTCACCACCCGTGTCACCTCCCATGGCATACCAGCATCATGACATCTCACCACCCGTGTTACCTCCCACAACATATCAGAATCATGACATCTCACCACCCTTGTCACCTCCCATGACATGCCAGCATCATGGCATCTCACCACCCTTGTCACCTCCGTCAACATATCAGAATCATGACATCTCACCACCCTTGTCACCTCCCACAACATACCAGCATCATGACATCTCACCACCCTTGTCACCTCCCACGACATACCAGCATCGTGACATCTCACCACCCTTGTCACCTCGCATGACATACCAGCATCGTGACATCTCACCACCCTTGTCACCTCCAACAACATACCAGCATCATGATATCTCACCACCCTTGTCACCTCCCATGACATACCAGCATCATGACATCTCACCACCCGTGTCACCTCCCATGGCATACCAGCATCATGACATCTCACCACCCTTGTCACCTCCACAACATACCAGCATCATGACATCTCACCACCCTTGTCACCTCTCATGACATACCAGCATAGTGACATCTCACCATCCTGGTCATCCTCCCACGAGACACTAGCGCAACGACATTTTACAGTGCACACAGCATGTGTATTTTATACCACACTTTGCACCGTGTTCTCCTCTAGCCCTGGGTGTTCCTGTGACCTTCACCTACATGGAGTCACTGTATACATCACTGCTGTCAAGACAATTACAACGTGCAGAATCAGCGGAAACACCTCCTTTCTGTGGAGCTGCTCAACTCCAACCAACTAGGCTCCACTACAACACTCGGAAACTGTCACTTATAACAACCTTTTGACATAAACAACTACAATGCACATCTTCTCTGCACCGGGGAAATAGCTTGTGGTGCCCCGCATTGTCATGATGTGAGTGTCCTGATGTGACGTTATTGTCCGTAAGTCAGTACAACAACATCTAGGAAACACACAAGACACACATTTGAAGTGATAAACAGTGATATTTAAAACAGTGCAATCAGTGAACAACAGTTTCATGCACAACCAGGAGACTCTCTCCACAGTTTATGACACAGTGCGTCTTGCGATCGTTTAAGTCCTCCCTGTCGTAACACGGAGATCTCACAACCCTGACACCTTCCTCCCTGTCGTAACACGGAGATCTCATATCCCTGACACCTTCCTCCCTGTCGTAACACGGAGATCTCACAACCCTGACACCTTCCTCCCTGTCGTAACACGAAGACATGAAAACCCTGACACCTTCCTCCCTGTCGTAACACGGAGATCTCACAACCCTGACACCTTCCTCTCTGTCGTAACACGGAAATCTCACAACCCTGACATCTCCTTCTCTGTCGTAACACGGAGATCTCACAACCCTGACACCTTCCTCCCTGTCGAAACACGGAGATCTCACAACCTTGACACCCTCCTCCCTGTGGTAACACGGAGATCTCACAACCCTGACACCTTCCTCCCTGTCGTTTCACGGGGATCTCACAACCCTGACACCTTCCTCCCTGTCGTAACACGGAGATCTCACAACCCTGACACCTTCCTCCCTGTCGTAACACGGAGATCTCACAACCCTGACACCTTCCTCCCTGTCGTAACACGGAGATCTTACAACCCTTACACCTTCCCCCCTGTCGTAACACGGAGATCTCACAACCCCGACACCTTCCTCCCTGTCGTAACACGGAGATCTCACAACCCTGACACCCTTGCTCTATACCGCCTTGTATCTCTCCCCAACTGAGATACATTTAGCCTTTGGAGTCACCTGTAACTCGGACTCAAACATAGTTCCGATACGCTACCCTAACTCTTCACTGATACAGTGACAAAGCAGTTGGATTGGATTTGTTTCTTCCCTTCTCCTTCTATTCTATCCACCATGTTGATGCTTCCCCTCTGTTCCTTCTCGGCCATCTCTCACCGTGTACTCACCTCCTTCACTCTCTGGTCTCTCTCCAGGTCTGCCATGGAGTTCTGGAAAGCTGACAGTATGGCTCTCTTGATGTTAAGGGCCCACGTGGAGTCGTCATCTTCAGGACAGATCTGTTCGACGACGCCATCTTGGAAGGAGAACCGCAGTGGGTTGGCCTCCAGGGCCCGTCTGAAGTCACCTGAGTTGTCTCCTGATGTCATGCTCCGTGCCAACACTGGATCCGACTTTAACACTTGCACGCCAGAGAGCTGTGTGCAGAATTAAACACACAACTACATAAACACTTGTGACATACACACTGCAACACTGACTTAAGACCATTAATACCTTCCCGTTGGACATCCACCGACAAACCCATTATAGTGACTTCATGTAGTGCGGCGTAACAGAAAGCGATATTCTCTTTGTATGAGACAAAACCTTTGTGACGATCAGTATGTTCATTAACACGTCTTACCGCCAGTATCATCTCACAAGAGGTCAAAACTTCAATGGTGACGTCAGCTTTGATTCTCAGCCCGGCGTGGTCCTCGGCTGCTCCGGACATCGTCGTCCGTGTATCAGCCTGGTACGTGTACTCGTACGTTGACCCCGCGGCGTACTTGAACTTGGTGGCTCCTGGAGAATATACACATGTGTGTAGGCAAAGAGGTATGGAGTCGTTCCCTTTCACTTCATTCAGTACACTTTACCCCCAGGATTCAGTGAACTTTTACTTCCAGGATTCAGGGCACTTTACCTCCTGGATTCAGAGCACTTTATCTCTAAGATTCAGGGCACTTTACCTCTAGGATTTAGAGCACCTTTACCTCCAAGATTCAGGGCACTTTACCTCCAGGATTAAGAGCACCTTTACCTCCAAGATTCAGTGAATTTTACCTCAACAATTCAGGTCTGTATGAAAATTACTATCCTACAATTAGAGAGGTAGTTTTTGTCACTTATTTGTGCACTGCAGCGGATAAAATGTCGTTGGCCATGGCATGCAATCTCCAGTGGCAAATGAAGACATTTACCATTGAGACACCTTTGGGTTGGTTGGCAGGAGACGACAGTAAGATTAACGACCTATGAGTCACAAGAATTAATACGCTCAGACCCAAAATCCTTTCCAAACGCAGATCTACCTTTTGGAAATCGCACTTCGCTTAGTGCCCCAAAATGTCAAAACACTTAAATTCAATCCCAATTTTCATTGTTTGCGTTGTGCTAACTGGATTAAAATGTGCCTTTCATGAAGGTAATGTGTGATCCCCAGAGTAACACCCAACCTCCCAAATGTAGGCTCGGTCGTGTGACTAGGTGCGGAGAACATGAAAAGAATTATGCTTGACACAAATCCTGGCGAGCTGCGCGTGTGACCCTTTCTGCTGGCTGTTAAGCAGGAGCTCGACTATGTCCGCCCGTGAAGCAGGGCATCGGTTCCAGCAGGTAGCCTGACGCCATGGGGCCGGGCACACTGGTTGCGTTTTTTCGCACAAACATGAATTCACTGAACACAGACTAGGATTTGAATCTTAGCAACAAATACGCCTCCAACAGCATATCAATAGTTAAGATGGACATTAAGTTAAAAAATGCCCTCCCCTGAAACGTGTTTCCTCGTCCGCTTTAACCACTACTCGTCTACCGACGAGCTAGGAGAAAGGAGTAACAATGAAGGCATCACGTTTACTTCAAAGAATAAAAATTCACCTTGCCAGTTAGTTTTAAACTGTAAACATTATCTTTGCATTTTATGCAATACAAAGGTGTTACAGGTAGCTCCCTCATCTGCAGCTAACCTGAGATAGCTACCGTCACTGACACTAGCCACATCTTATCAACCACTGCAACAACAGAATCATCACAATCAAAGGTGTGGGCTGATTGATGGTGATGACAAAGGTCGCTAATCAGAGCTCACTGTAGATAAGAGTTCGTTTTATCTCTGCCTTTTCAAATGGTGGATGTTCACACCTCAGATAACGTCCTGCCTATTACTGTGGTGACCAAGTGACCACATGTCGCCATCCTGCACCCCGGCACGGGAGATGACAGGCTCACTGGGCGCAGTAGGCTAGCGTTTAGACTAAGGCTTAGTCTCTGAATATATTTAATTTTGATAGTAACAAACAAGCCCATTTATATTGAAAAGGAGCCCTAGGGAGACCAGAGATTCAGAGGAGACCTGAACCTGAGGAAATCTAGACTTGCTTTATTTAGGGCTTTAGCACAGCAGAGAGGGCTTGGCAGTAGGGAAATTAATGTGGTTCAGGGACTGTGAGACAGACTAGCTAGCGTTGGGCGGCCTTCAGTATTAGACTACTGCATCAGTGTCACAAAGCGATCTTAGCGCTATGGCGATCGTAACGCCCATATTTTAAACTTGGCTTCCGACCATCGTAACGTTAAGAACGTTTTGTGGAACGGGCCCTGGAGCTACGTTAACGTGCCCACAAGAAGTTTGTTTAATATCTATTCACATATGAATTGGATAAGCACAGTGCGTATAGGAATGCATCAATTTTCCATTAATTGACACTCATGTTTGGATCTGGCTGTTTTTTTTTTAAGTTAAGTTGTTTGGTCAATACTATTTGGGTTATCATTGGTCGGTAGCATGTCGCCTTCAGGTGACCAGTAGTCAGGTGACTGTGACAGAGATACTGTGGTACAGTTATCGGTAAATGGTGGCCTCGCCATTCAGGTCTGTGACATACACTATCTAACAAAGACCGAAGGTCAGGTGGCCAGATGACAGTATCAGCCCATCACAGTCAGATGTGTAAATTGGAGCTTGCAAGAAGTCTTTCATATGATATGAAACAACTCAAAAGTGTTTTTTTGCAATATAAATCACCCCAACCACATTTAGAAGGGAGTGGAATCTGAAAAACAGATGGCCTTAGATTGATCATGTGGGCAAGGCGTCCGACCACGCACCAGAAAGTCCTTGGTTCAGATCCCAAAAACAGAACTCAGACATATTATGTCGGCGACATTAACAAAATTCAGAATCTGTTGAACTTCACTCTATCATTCCAGTTACTGATCTGGCCGTATCATGTGGTGGTAGCTCACCGGCCATGACAGCTCACTCTATCATTCCAGTTACTGATCTGGCCGTATCATGTGGTGGTAGCTCACCGGCCATGACAGCTCACTCTATCATTCCAGTTACTGATCTGGCCGTATCATGTCGTGGTAGCTCACCGGCCATGACAGCTCACTCTACCCGCATCACGGACACAAATGCACAGCAACCGATAACCGACCTTCAACTAATCACCCTCCAGCAATAGAGTACAGATAACCACTAACCTTTGTCTCATAATTAGTTCCAACATACTTTCTGGAGTTGCAATACTCTGCCCATTGTCCTACTGTTTTCTATAAAAGGCATGGAGTAGAGCTACGCACCCCGTAGTGGGTATATGCAATGCAGCCTTCACAAGTCTCTGCTTCTTTTAAACGTGTTTTTTTAAATAAAAAAAAAAGAACTTTTTTCTGTAAACCATGTTCCTTTCAGAGACAAGATGCCAGTTTAGCGGGAAAATTACAGAACAAGATATCCCATTTTGTCAGAAAGAAGGTTTCGTTGTCAGCAGTGTGTAGATGTCAAGTTGATACACTCATTCTGACAATCCCAACATTGCCCCATGTGCAGTAACTTGTAAACACGCCTCCTCGTGGCGGTGGAATCAGGCATACGTTAATGCGCCACCCATTAACCACCAACTGGTGGCGGATGCTGACTAGATCTAGACATGGTACCGCATGATAACAACTGACCCACACCTGAACTTAGGGAGGGTGGGGGAGAGGGAGTAAGGGGCGATGGCGTGGCCAACGAGAGGCTTCTGAACAACTGTTCGCCTTGAACTACATCTGACATGAGGGCTGGAGGTGATGTCTGTCCTTATTTTCAAGGACCACTGGACTTTGGACCTCAAAAGTAGAGTTTCCGCATTACGATAACAGAAGTAGAAATAGCTGTATGTGTCATGTTGTTGAAAAGAGATGAAGTTCTAAACACTGGATATTTACAGCGAGAGAAGGGATAAATAAGGCTGGGCGGCGAGGAGGGAGGGAGAGGACACAGCAACCCTTGATGGTTCCAGGAGTACGCCGCTGATCTGTTAGAACTACCAGCTCAGTGACACAGGGCACGGAAAGGGTTATGTTTTCGTCAAAATCTGAAACCTAAAACCAGGAACTGCAAGGAGTTAACACTTTGAGTGCCGCATGTGTAAGAAGATATAGCTTGCACACACCCAGGGTGTTAAAGTGACACCGATGTGTCGGCCGGTCAACCACACCGGGGAGCCCACTGTTGGCGTGTATTGTGTCAGGACTTAATCAGCAGCATCTGAGCAAATCTTTTATAGTTGACGGACAAAGGGTTAATGAGATCAGCTGATGAAGGATGTAAACAAACTCACCAGCGCACTGACTTGCACATGACGACGGGTCTCTCGCATCTCGCTGGATGATAGGCCCTGAAATACGAACGTTAAAGTTGATTGGGCGAGATTACTTACACTCACAGCAAACACAAAGCCAAATGTCCGTCTGTTGTTGATTCTTTAGGTGGGATTGCGTGTTTATACGCTGTTTGTCCAGGACATGCTAATGCTGCTCACAAAACGTCATATGTATTGAAACGATGTCAACAAGTTTGTTGGAGCCGACATAATGCCAATTCATATGAAGAACACTGTGTTCATATAATATATTCCGTAGTGTAACAGGCTAGTTTTGAACAAGTCTTTGCAGAGTCAATGTACTTAGAATTTCACAAGTTAATTTCCTCCGTAGATGCATGTTGTATTATGAGTTTAAAGAGCTCCTCAGGGAGAGCTGATAACAGTGACAGTCTTTGCCACTGCCTGGAGCCGTCCTTTGTTGCCGTAACGTGTACATTCGAAGTTATTTCCATAAAGATATTTAATATGCCTGAGTCTCCTTGGCAGAGCTATATGTAATTCTACCAGCGTTTTATAGAGAGTGTAGAACTGGAGGCGTTGTCCTACAAGCTCATATGGCACCCATACCATATCCTGCCGCTGCGAAGAAAACCTGGATTGAGTCAAGGTTTGCCTGTGTGAATATACCACTCATCCCATGTGTACATCAACGCATGAAATATTATTTATGAATAACAAACATTCCATAAATGTATAATTACAATATCTCTCTCAGAGAATCAGTTTCTAGACAATTGCCGACTTTCTAAACAAAGTGTCCATGGTTGAAAAAAAACAAGATAAAAGGTACTTACCAGCTAGAGTTCCTGCCGTGAAGGCGACAAGCAGGATGAGCTTGGGCTCCATCTCGCGCATGTGACTGACCTGCGTGATAACAGTGCGTGCTTTTATATCACCAGTGATTACAATTAAGTCCAAAGTCAAACTTTTCTCCAAGCTGTTTGCATCCTGATGGACTGATGTTGCTGATGATGTTGCTCAGTGCGAGGCAATACCTCTTCTGGCTTATAGTGCGCAGATCACTCGCACTTGGCAGCAACATAGAGGTCAAGGGTGAAGGGGGAGGGGTCAGTCCGGGGATTTAGGGTGATGGGGAGTCCGTGAGCACTCTTTCTGTCAAAACATTCACATATGTGTATTTCATAACATTATGTCATTTTATAAATCTACGTTTAGTGTCTTGGCCATGGTTAAGATTTAGATATCCGTACGGCCCAAAGTGTCTATAATGTTAAAAAATTGAAAATATATGTAAATAATTAAGTTAATAAAAAAATCATGAATACATACATCTCTATTAGACTAACGCTTAGTATCTGAATATGTATGATTTTGATAGAAACAAATACTTCCTTCTAAAGGAGTCCCAGTGAGATGAACCCAGGGAACTTTAGACTTGCTATATTTAAGGTTTTAGCATTGTGGAAAGGGTTGGGAGGAAGGGGAAATAGTGCGGTTCAGAGACTTTGAGACAGACTACTATGCTAATATACGGCGCTCGAAATCTCACAGAAACTGAAAACGGAACGACGTGTATTAAGGACATGTTTGGCTTGTTTGTGACTACAATGTGCTAAATGTTTGTTGTTTGTTTTCGTATCAAAGGAGGTTTCTGTTTCAAGGATGTTATCGGGTCAACTCGTCGAAAGAAACAAAATCGTTATTAACTGATGTGTATGGAACTGTTGGTTGGTTTTGTGTAGAACACAAGAACTATGTATCAATTAAAACTTGTGTCATGTTGGTACGTGAGATATATACTGTGTCTATCAATGGGAGGCATCATGTACTTACGTCAGATAACTTGTGTCATGTTGGTACGTGAGATATATACTGTGTCTATCAATTAAGACTTGCGTCATGTTGGTACGTGAGATATATACTGTGTCTATCAATTAAGACTTGCGTCATGTTGGTACGTGAGATATATGCTGTGCCTATCAATGACTTGTGTCATGTAGTTACGTCAGATATATACTGTGTCTATCAATGGCGGGTGTCATGTAGTTAGGTGAGATATATACTGTGTTTATCAATGGGAGGTGTCGTGTAGTTAGGTGAGATATATACTGTGTCTATCAATGGGAGGTGTCGTGTAGTTAGGTGAGATATATACTGTGTCTATCAATGGGAGGTGTCATGTAGTTACCTGAGATATATACTGTGTCTATCAATGGCTTGTGTCTGAGATATATACTGTGTCTATCAATGGGAGGTGTCATGTAGTTACGTCAGATATATACTGTGTCTATCAATGGGAGGTGTCATGTAGGTACATGAGATATATACTGTGTCTATCAATGGCTTGTTTCATGTAGTTACCTGAGATATATACTGTATCTATCAATGGGAGGTGTCATGTAGTTACGTCAGATATATACTGTGTCTATCAATGGCTGGTGTCATGTAGGTACATGAGATATATACTGTGTCTATCAATGGCTTGTGTCATGTAGTTAGGTGAGATATATACTGTGTCTATCAATGGGAGGTGTCATGTAGTTAGGTCTGATATATACTGTGCCTATCAATGGGAGGTGTCATGTAGGTACGGGAGATATATACTGCGGCAATCAATGACTTGTGTCATGTAGGTACATGAGATATATACTGTGTCTATCAATGGGAGGTGTCATGTAGGTACGGGAGATATATACTGCGGCAATCAATGACTTGTGTCATGTAGGTACATGAGATATATACTGTGTCTATCAATGGGAGGTGTCATGTAGGTACGGGAGATATATACTGCGGCAATCAATGACTTGTGTCATGTAGGTACATGAGATATATACTGTGTCTATCAATGGGAGGTGTCATGTAGTTACGTCAGATATATACTGTGTCTATCAATGGGAGGTGTCATGTAGGTACATGAGATATATACTGTGTCTATCAATGGCTTGTTTCATGTAGTTACCTGAGATATATACTGTATCTATCAATGGGAGGTGTCATGTAGTTACGTCAGATATATACTGTGTCTATCAATGGCAGGTGTCATGTAGTTACGTCAGATATATACTGTGTCTATCAATGGGAGGTGTCATGTAGTTACATCAGATATATACTGTATCTATCAATGGGAGGTGCCATGTAGTTACCTGAGATATATACTGTGTCTATCAATGGCTAGTGTCATGTAGTTACGTCAGATATATACTGTGTCTGTCAATGGCTTGTGTCATATAGTTAGGTGAGATATATACTGTTTCTATCAATGGCTTGTTTCATGTAGTTACCTGAGATATATACTGTGCCTATCAATGGCTTGTGTCATGTAGTTACCTGAGATATATTCTGTGTCTATCAATGGCTTGTGTCATGTAGTTACCTGAGATATATACTGTTTCTATCAATGGCTTGTGTCATGTAGTTACCTGAGATATATACTGTGTCTATCAATGGCAGGTGTCATGTAGTTACTTGAGATATATACTGTGTCTATCAATGGCTTGTGTCGTGTAGTTACCTGAGATATATACTGTGTCTATCAATGGCCTGTGTCATGTAGTTAGGTGAGATATATACTGTGTCTATCAATGGCTTGTGTCATGTAGTTACCTGAGATATATACTGTGTGTATCAATGGCTTGTGTCATATAGTTAGGTGAGATATATACTGTGTCTATCAATGGCTTGTGTCATGTAGTTACCTGAGATATATACTGTGTCTATCAATGGGAGGTGTCATGTAGTTACGTCAGATATATACTGTTTCTATCAATGGCTTGTGTCATATAGTTAGGTGAGATATGTAATGTGTCTATCAATGGGAGGTGTAGGTACATGAGATATATACTGTGTTCATCACTGAATCTCTGCCCCAACAGCCTCCCACACCCATGTGTTCATCACTGAATCTCTGGCCAAACACCCACTCACACCAGTGTAAGTGTTCATCGCTGAACCTCTGGATAAAACAGCCACTCACACCCGTGTACTAATCACTAAATAACTCTCTGTCATTAATGTAAGGTGTCTAAAGATGACGAGTTGGAGTTGATATGAGAAGGAATACGTTATACAGACAATATACTCTAGTATCTGAGTGAGGGAGTAATATAAATACAGTGGTACTTCACACTCATCCTTCCCCCCTTCACCTTGCGCTGTAACAACAACACCCTCTCCTTGTAGCGAGAGTGGACTTTGGCCAAATCTTGTGTCGGCCAACGGCCAGATGATATGGTACAATTCACTCCTTATCTTACTAGATCACCGAGTTAATTCCCACTGAACAACACCAGCTCTGATTCCGTGTCTTGTAACAATCACCATTGTTTTCTAGTGGAATAAATAACTTAACCCATCTGGAACGGCCCGTGACACCAGATGTCACAGTTCGGGCATCGCTTAAACAAGTGAGACCAAATCTGTATCGAGTGATGCAACCTGTTGTTACAGTATGTGTGGAGACATATAGCTGCAGACACAAGTGGGTTATTTCTTGTGATTCAGTGTCGGTAACTGTAGTGGAGCGGTACAATATGTTCCACACCCTGTTTCATCCTTGGGCAAACGTGGGACAATATACCGAATAATTCGTTTACTACATATCTGCCCATGAACGGGTCGGTTGGATGGCGTTGTCCTCAATATTACCTCCGATCACACCGTATTCTCCCAATGTTTACACTCTACCTTGCTCTAGGCTGTACTGATCGACAACTCCATGGATGTACAGTACAGGTCTTTATGATACTCAAGTGTACATAAGACGCCATGCAATCATTCCACAGGGACGACTTATTCTTATAATTTATACAATCTGGGGATTATGATACAAACTAATAACTGTTCCCTTGGACACCTGTGCATTTGTCGTAGTGTACACTTGGCAGTCGGAGGTCTGAGTTAAAGGAAGTGAAACAATCATAACTCATTTGTCGTAGTGTACACTTGGCAGTCGGAGGTCTGAGTTAAAGGAAGTGAAACAATCATAACTCATTTGTCGTAGTGTACACTTGGCAGTCGAAGGTCTGAGTTAAAGGAAGTGAAACAATCATAACTCATTTGTCGTAGTGTACACTTGGCAGTCGGAGGTCTGAGTTAAAGGAAGTGAAACAATCATAACTCATTTGGTCAGAAATGCTCAGAGACATCATATGAAAAAAACAACAACAACATTTAAATCGCAGCTAAAAACAACAACAGAATAGAGACTGGTCATGTTCTATAGGTCTAGATAATCTCAGGAAGGTTTACACTCTCCAACATTGACATGTAATTCATAATACACGGTATCATCTGAAATATCTCCCTCGGTGGGCATTATGTCATAATCAAGAGGCCGTATTGCATAAGCCATATCTTCTTCCTTAACACATAAGCAGTTATCATGCCGCCTCCAAGTGCCTTGTTTGTACACTGGTCTTTTAAGTTTGATTACAGACGGGTAGTGACGTAACACAATCAACAAGTCATTGCGCCAAGACGGATTTCATCTATCCCAGGAGGAACTGACCACGGACAAGAATAGCAGTGACCAAGCTGCAATCTCTACCGGACGACAAGGCAGCTTATGTCTGCTGTTGTTGCGTAACGTGCATCTACACAGGACTCTTTGTGGCAGCTGGATCCGCTCAACGTGACGTCAGTCTGGCCGCTAGAGAGCTGGAGAGGTCAGCGTAGCTCGTCCCCCCGACGTTAGATTGGTCACGCTGGGATCACACCCAACATGGATGTACGAACAGCTGCAGACGGCAAGGTCAAGTATCCCTTCGCCCATTGACCAGAATCGGTGACACTGGAGCTGGTTGGCTACAAGTGTTGTCAAGAAACACTTCAAGTGTACATAGTTCATGTTATGTCGTGACTTCACGGTCACGGTGTATGGATGCACATGCTTACACGTGAACACCAGACATATTTCAGTGTGGTTGTGTTCCCTTTCTCAATTGAAATACTTATAGCTGGGTTCTTCCATATCTGTATCAAAGGTAACAGCTTTCTTGATTGCTGTGCATTAAACCGTAAAT